TCCTCGATAAGTTTTTTTTTTTTTTTTTTTTTGGTTCTCAATGGTTTGGCGTGTCTTGTAAGTGATGTGGTCGTCGTGCTTTGCCGTTATTTGTATTCGAATTAGGATTCAAAAAAAAAAAAAAAAAAAGCGCCGTGGATTCCTCCACAATACAACCCCGACCGTAGACTTGGTGGAACCACCACCCAGCTTCGGCTCAGGAGGGGGTAGTGATTCTGGGACCAGAAATGGGACCACACCTGGGTCACTTGCGTGCGGGTCTTCGAGCATCAGTGCACGCATGAAATTCTTTATGAAATTCTTTGTAATATTGACAATTTGACAGTTCGCTCGTGTAAAGAGCAATCGGTCGGCCATTGCTCGTCTTCTATCTCTCTTTTTTTTTTGTCTGTACTGATCTATCTCATCCTCTCTCCCTACGCTTATGTATATTACGCCTTCGGGACATCCGTTAAAATTGGAACGATACAGAGAGAGAAGATTAGCATGGCCCCTGCGCAAGGATGACACGCATAAATCGAGAAATGGTCCAAATTTTTTCTTATGTAGATTATGGGGGATACTTTTTTTTTTTCTTCTTCGACGTCCAAGAATCTCAGGCCTGCCGAAAAAAAACGTCCAAGAATCTCGGGCCTGCGGAAAAAAAAATTGGGCCTGCCCTTTTTTTTTTTTTTTTTTTCCGTCACTTCCCTGTACAGACAAAAGACGGCACTCGAGTCATGTCAATCGGCAAGGGCAAGCATACTTAAACACATTACGACGCTCTCGAATGAACGCTGTCAATATTTCGGGCAGATACATGCACCGAAGTCGTTGTGTTAGTCCGTCAGAATTATTCCCTGCCGCTCACATCTGCCTCCAATTGATCGTCGAATCCAAAAGAAGAGAACATTCACTGAACTTTCCTCTTCCTCTGCTTTTTGCATTTACTCCTCTCCCATTTCCATTTATTTATTTATTTATTTTGTTCCAGTTTTCATACCACTCCCCTCTCCCCTCTCCTCCTTCCCCCTTCCCC